GCAGAATTCAAATAGTTTTTACTGCATATGAAACCCTGAAAGGCTGAGTGCACAGCCATCTTTTCATATGCAATATATATGTGAAGGGCATGCTATTTACTCTTCTCTTGGGTTTATTTTTCTAGCCCTGCCATGTATTTTTTTCTTGGGGACACTATAGTATAAATTTTAAATATGCTATTATTCTCCTCCTCACCATCACTATTAAAACACAAAGTGAGCAACTATATATATCTATATCTATATCTATATCTATATCTATATCTATATCTATATCTATATCTATATCTATATCCACATACATATATATGGATATATATATATACACAGAGATATATGTATATAGGTATACATGTGTATACATACACACTGTATATTTATGTATTTATTGTTAAAGCTGACAACAATTTTATCCACAAATTCCCATTAAAATTGTTTCAGAAAGACTCCATTTTTGCTTTTAATTCCCACTTTTCTCCTTTGAAGCAGCTGTGGAACTTTTACCAGTTCATTTTATTGGAGCACAATTTCCAAGTATTTGAGGTTATTTTGACTCAGAAATTATTAGAGTTTTGGGGAGTTTTTCAGTCAATGGATCAATCTTTTAATGGCCTTCTCCTCTGCTGGCCAATCTCTGCAGCTTGTGCAGTGCAGATTCCTTAGGGAATCTCATCCTGGGGGAATTTTGGAGTTTCCCATTCCTTAGCCCAGCCAGGCTGCTCCAGATCCTGCTCCAGAGCTTCCCCCTGCAGCCCAGACATGGCTGGGATTCCTCAGAAAGCTGGAAAATGCAGGGATGAGTCTCTGATGACTCAGTTGTTTCAGGATTCAACAAGGAACAAACTTTTTTGCCACGAAAAACTGAATTTCAGCTCAGGTATATGTTCATTGTTTCCAAAAACAAATCACTCATTTCAGCATTCTTCTACACTGAAGATTCTTTCAAGGCAACATGGAAATAATTTTCTATTAAAAAGTAGATAGGAAAACCTGAAATGTCCATGTTAGTAAGTACTGAGACCATAAGACACAGGACAGTGTCAATGTATTTCCCCACTTGATGTCTTTGAAACCATTGCAATTTCTAACAAAATAAGCATTCATCTTTGGTATCTGTTTAACCAGAATAGGCCTTATAATTATCCCAATAATGTTTCCAAAGGTTTTTCAGCTCAAGCAATGTCTTGAAGAGAACCAAAAAGGCAGAAGTAATAAATTCAGACTCCATCTCATTGCACAGACTATGTGAAATGACACTTTACTCTTCTTAACAGTTCACTCTCAGGCATTTCTTTAAGAGCCAGCTGGAGTTTCCCTGTACTTTGGAGTGTCATCCTACTGAAATCAAAGCTTTTGCCCTCACATGTGAGCCTGTTTCATTTAGATTAGTAATATCCATCCTAAAATACATGTAACGAGCTAATCCTGCAGGTACACTGAGTGTCTGTTCTGTGGGCTGACACTGAGAATTCAAAATTCAGGTTTTAAAAACCTACAGAAGTGGATATTTGTAGAGAAGCGAAGTGAAGATGTGAGACAGGATAAAAGGCACCTGGAGAGGGCACACTCTGACTTGTAGGCTGGGTTCAACATACAGGACAGGGATTCCAAAGGAAAATTAATTTTCTTTCCACGTGCCATCTGTGCAAAAACAAAACTATAGAGGAATTTCATTCCAAGATGTCCTCTGTGCATTGTGAACTGCCTGGTTTTCCCATTATGGTCTTTCTAGATAAGAATGAAATATTACATATGAAAGAGGCAAAGTATGCATTATACAGCACTAATTTATGGATTTAGGAAGTGAACTTCAGTTTCTCATCCCATCTGAGGAACTCATCACAGCCTTCCAGGACCTGAGGGGGCTGCAGGGAGAGAGAGGGGCTGGAGAGGGGCTCTGCACCAGGAGCTGCAGTGCCAGGGGCAGGGGCCTCACACTGACAGGGGGAAATTCAGTCAGGTATTGGGCATGAGGAATTGTTCCTGGCAGGGTGGGCAGGCCCTGGCACAGGGTGCCCAGAGCAGCTGGGGCTGCCCCTGGATCCCTGGCAGTGCCCAAAGCCAGGCTGGACACTGGGGCTGGAGCAGCCTGGGACAGTGGGAGGTGTCCCTGCCATGCCTGGGAGTGGCACTGGGTGGGATTTAATGTCCCTTCCAGCCCAACTCATTCTGGGATTCCCTGATTTTATGATTCTATGAGAGTATTGTTCTTTGGGGTCCTGAGGACCCTTTATTCCTGTGGGATGCTTTACAGAATAATATAATCATAGAGAAGTGTATCTGTTGTGCTTATCCTCAATCTCTCTTGAAATTCAGTATAGAAAATCCATGCAGCACAGGAAGAAATGTCCAGTCAGGATATTCCCAGTTCCTGTAGCTCCCTGGTCACCTTCTGCAGTGACTGAGCCAAGGCTGTGTCACAGCCCCCAGCAGCTCAGCAGGGCCTTGCTGTCTGCCCCGCTGCTCTTTGTTCCATGAACAATAGTTCAACATGAATATTTTACCTTCTCAACTCTTGTCATTATCCAGATACCGTAACAGGAAATTTGCATTCCTGAATAGGCACAGCTGGAAGTAATTTAAGAAAGATCCTTCAAAAGAAGGGAAGAGAATTTAGGAAGCATATGGAGTCACAGGTTTACATGATAATCAACAAAAGCAGCTCTTGTTCCTCCTCATTTGCAGGGAGACACTTCACACTCCAAGCAGAGGGAACATCCCACAGTCTCTCTGCAGGAAGCTTTCTTTCACAAATTATTTGCTTCAATTCTGAAATGCAAAGAGGTCCATGAAAAAAAAGACAACACTTTGTCAGACAAAACTTGGGTAGGGACCCAGTTAAAGCTCACTTATCTCACACTCCAGTGAGAGTGGTGGGCTGTTTTCCTTTAAGCCTATTCCTCACATGCAGAGCGGTGCGTAAGTGGCCCGAAGTTTAGAGTCTGACTAGCTGAGGGCGAAAGGCCGACGCCTCTCTGCAATTCTTGGCCTGCACTCTTCGGCGTCTGATGGCTTCGGGCTGTGCTGGCTGCGGACTGGCTTACACCGCTGGTATTGGGGAGGAACGGAGCTGACTATTTCCCGGGGGTTAAACATCGGTTTATTGAAGGTGTTGCGAGATCTAAACGCAGGGAAACTAACCGGGAAAAAGTTTTCTCAATAGGGGGTGAAACAGGATTATAAAGGAGGGGGGTGGGTACAGGCGGAACGAATCGGGAAAGGTGAGGGGATGAACTTCACAGAACTGACACTCTATGGAGACTAATAATCAAAAGGTAAAGGAGGTGTCTTGGGACCTCAGCCAGCTACCATCTCCAGAGAGGAGAAGGTTCTCGAAACCTGGGAGGAGAAAGGGGGTTATTGACTGTACCCAGGGAGGAGACAACTTTAACTTATAAGGGAGACTAGGGGAGGAGCAATTACATATCGGCAACTATGAATAGCGGTTACTATAGCAACTTAGCTGACAGGCTAGCAGTGGCGGGAAAAACTGGGGGAACGAAACTATTTTACACATAATAGGGGAGAACAATACATAAATTGGGGGAATAACACAAGGAACTTAACAGCACACTACAACACTCGCAGTCCTTTAATTTCTAAAAATTAAGTCTGTTTGGAAGTAGCTCTGAAGTCAAGAACAAGTGGAGTAAAAAGGGGCCTGAACTAAACCATATTAGTTGAGATGAGATATTAGAAAATACCAAATGAGGCAAAACAGTGGTGAGAAAATTAATGTAACTGTGCATGGAGCAGAGACATGCAGAACTAATTTCAGGTATTTTCTCTATGTCTTCTTAATGCCCAGGGATGCATTTAAAACCTAGTCAGGATGTCCTCAAACCAAACCCTCTTTAGAATCGTTCTGTTGAGAAACTGGATTTGAACAAGAGCTGAGCACTGTTTGCAGTTGTGGCTTTTGTGTTCAGACAGGACCAGAATGTGCCCTGCATTGCTCAGAGTTAATTCAGCCCCGTGCTGCTGGTGTCACCCAGCCTGGCTGCTGCTGTCCCCTCCCCAGACCTGAGGACAGCACACACACAGCCCATAGAGCTGCTCACAAGGATGTTGAAGTGTTGGTTCATTTGGCTGCCAGAAATAAGATAATTGTCATTTAAAGGATTTTCGCTGAAATTAAGCATCTGTCAAGCAGGACCTGAGTGAATGGAATGTAGAAAATGTGAATGAGTCAACAAGACAAAGAACTTTTATATTCTGGCACTGTACTTTTTATCCCACACGATTCAGGTGGGCTCGTGCCTTTGATTCTGTATAAATGACAGTGTTTAGATATTTATTATCTATTACACCCAATCTGTTTCTGTGTTAAACATAGAAACAAACAATGGACACTCCTGTAAATGAGCAATTCTCACCTCTGTGGAATTGCAGCAACAGCACAACTGAAAGTCACAGACATTTGAACAATTAAAGGCATCAGAGCAGCAGATCCAACTAGTTTTACTTCTAGTTTCCTAAACTCTACATTTGCACACTTTCCACCTGCTCTGAAGCCTAAGGGTCACCATGAAGTGACTTTCCTAACCCAAGTCTGAGCAGTTATACTGAGCTCAACAGTATTGCACAAAATATCAGAGAAAGAGTCCAAATGTGGAATTAATCACTCACTAGAATAAGGAAAGTATGAACCTGTTTGACTGATCACTTCCAGCTGTAAACCTAAATATCAGAAAAATTCTTACATTCCTTTCTTCAGCGTTCCACTGCTGTGAGTTTTCAAGTGATACTCTGATGTTTAAAACAAGAAATTCAACAAAAGGGATTCAAAACATGTCCCTTATCAAACTGTGCTGTACAGAGGTAGAAGGATGGTCTGTGTCCTACAGCTGACTGCTATCAGGAGTTCTGGTTAAACTCTCTGAGGGATCAGTGCCTGCAGAAATGTTCCCCATACTGCACAAACACTGTAGACACTACAGAAACAAGGTGCCAGCCATGGACATCCCTGAGGAGATCACAGGGCTGGATGCAGGACTCACCTTCACCCACTGGAAACCTGCTGCCAGTTGATGTAGCATATTCCACACATCTGAGATGGCACCTCAGGAGCTGTGACACCTGTCAGCGCTCTGCTGCCACTCAGCCACTACTTCAGCTCTGGCTGCAAAGAAGGAAAAGGACATTTGAAATCCAAACTATTGGTGGGACCATAAAAAAGGGAACTGAAGCCTGGCCTATAAACTACTACAGTGGCCTAAAGAGAGTCTAAAGACAAGCAATTAAATACTACTTATAATTAATAAATAGCTTTTACCTAGAATCACAGAAGTCCAAGTTTGGAAAGGACCTTAAAGATAAGCCAGTGCCACCCCTGCCATGGGCAGGGACACCTCCTACCATCCCAGCCCTGTCCAACCTGGAATATTTAAGACTCACTTCTGCTACAATGTTCCCATAACTAAAATGCTTGAGGCCATATCAAAATTCTTTCACATCTCTTTTGTGTTATCTATGGAAAAAATCTGTTCTGGCAATGTTATCCAAGACAAGACACACTGCAGTGAAAAAAGGAACAGCTGCAGATGCCATTAACCAGCAAGACGTGCTTTGAACATTTCTAAGTGCTCTAAAGGCATATTAGAAAATTAGTGGGTTTATCATTATGATGGAAAAGGGAGAAGATTATTTTAGGAAGTGGAACTGCCACTACAGTGGTGAAAAAATATATAAGAGAAGACAAAAAGCAAAACAAAGTGAAACAAAACCCACCAAAAAATCACAAACCCAAAAAATCCCCAAACACGTAAGAGGCGCCTGTGCCTGTAAGAAGTTCATCTACAGCTGTTTTAGTGGTTACAATTCTTTCATAAATAGGGCAGGAAGTTGAGTCAGTCTGGACAAAGGGAGCAGGAACAAAAAAGAAACCTGCTGAATCATTTCTCATGACAAGTCTTGAATTTAAATTGGTACATTAAGGATGGTCGCAATTTCCCAGAGCAGTCATCCTCACACCTCATCATTTCACACCTCATCATCCCAGGTGTTTCTGACAATGTCCCCACACAAGTAAAATATAGATAAAATATAATTAATGTGACTGAATGCAGAGGAAATACTCAGTGCGATCTGTTGTTACCTACTGGTACAGACACTGCATTCCTGAGGTTCATTTGAGACCTTGATACACACTTAAACAGCCCTAACTGAATTCCAGGACTAGGATCCATTCCAGCCAAGGAAAACAGGCTAGATTCCCTAGTACCTCCAGATTTCTAGAGCTAATTTCTAGAAAATAATTTCTAGAAAATAATATTTCTAGAATAATTAGTTCTAGAAAATTTCTAGAACTAATTATTTAATTATTAAGAAATAGCCTCTGTAATTTGGGCTGATAGATCCAAGTCAGTAATTTTCTGTAGTGTTTAATTGTTGATGATACCTCATCTGTATCAATCCTTAATTTTATACCCACTTTTCACCCCTGTTAAACCAATCGAGTTTTAATTGCAAAAAACCAGTTCAGCAGCACAGGTGGAATTTCAGAGTTCTCAGCACAAATGTTGAAAAGGAAACAGGCATTGACTGGCTATTTTATATTCAGCATTGCGCAAACATATTTCACTTTTGCTCCACCAAAGGAATAAATAAATTCACGTGGCTTCTGTGGCCCCTCACGACTGCAAATACATTGAGTCTTTTTTAAAAACTTGGGATACATGTGCCATAAAAGCACATTCCTAGACAGTGCATTTTGCTAAGGTTAAGCTCTGTGAAGTGATGATTTGTGTGATGACTGAGCCACTAATATAAAAGCACTTGGTTGGTAAAAGTACTCCACACATTCATACTATGAAGTACCTATGGCACTTTGAAATATATTCATTTTGCAAGTATTTTTTTAAATAAAGGACCCTTTTGAACTAATTCACAATTCATATGAATGACTAAAACTGAATAAACACCCTCATTTTGAGAATTTGCTCAATATCTTTACAGGAAACAACATCTTTATGGATGACTTTGCAGCCCAAGACTCCTTTATGCCCGAGACATTTGAATTTGCTTGGATAAGGACTTTTCAAAATATCCTCCCTAATATCCCTACCATCCAATTTTTTAAGCTCTTTTGTCTTTAAAAGCCTCAGAGATTTGATAACAGCCACTGCCAGTCCCCACCTGACCTGCAGCTCCATTGGCTGCACCCACCGGGCCACCAGCAAAGGCACCAATCATGGAACCAGAATGGGCTGGGCTGCAAGCATCTCAAAGAATAAAAGATAATAAATGGCAAATGATCATTTCACTGCCAATCACAGGTTCTATTCTGCAGTCACTCTGCATTTCAACAAATATCAGGGGATTCAAACTGATACTTTTTGTAGCATTAATCATTATTAGAAGGAAATAAATCTTCATATTAACATCAAGCAAGGAGAAACTCCTCCAGATGTCAATTTCATTAAAAATATAGTTTGAGAGTGTTTCCATCCTGTGACTGTAGACAGAACAGTTTGAGTAATTGATATTTAGGCATTGGATACCAATTTACTTCCTCTTACCATTTCATTCATCAGATGCCTATTACTTATTGTATAACATTTTTATTTTCCTGTTCCCTCTGCAGCTGAATATGCCTTCAGGAGTTCTAATAACTTTATAACGCTTACCAAAAGGGCAAAAAGCCAAGGGCCCCCAACTGGTGTATTTACAGAAGGCTGTTACAAAGTCCAATTACAATTACAAGAAAACTTTAAATCCATTAACCAGTTGCAATGCTGGAAAGAGATTTGTCACAGTGTCTCTTTACAGCACACGGCCTGACAAGGGTTGTTGGGGGGAAGGAGCCGCGGCTCGGGGCTGGGGATGCCGAGCACAGGCAGGGCCGCTCTGAGGGCGGCGGGAGCGGGGCAGGAGCGGCCCATTGTCCCCGGGAAATCACTGCACAGTGCCGGGGAAATCACCGCATAGTGCCCGTGGGAGAGCGGCCCATTGTCCCCGGGAAATCACTGCACAGTGCCAGAGAATCACTGCACAGTGCTGGTGGGAGAGCGGCCCATTGTCCCGGGGAAATCACCGCACAACGAGGGTGGGAGAGCGGCCCACTGTCCCCAGGAAATCACCACACAGTGCCCCAAAGAAATCACCGCACAGTGCCGGTGGGAGAGCGGCCCATTGTCCTGGGGAATCACCGCACAGTGCACATGGGAGAGCGGCCCATTGTCCTGGGGAATCACCGCACAACGAGGGTGGGAGAGCGGCCCATAGTCCTGGGGAAATCACCACACAGTGCTGGGGAAATCACCGCACAGTACCGGTGGGAGCGGGGCCCATTGTCCGGGGAATCACCGCACAGTACCGGTGGGAGAGCGGCCCATTGTCCGGGGAAATCACTGCACAGTGCCGGGAAATCACCGCACAGTGCCGGTGGGAGAGTGGGCCTTTGTCCTGGGAAATCACTGCACAGTGCCGGGAAATCACCGCACAGTGCCGGTGGGAGAGCGGTCCTTTGTCCCAGGAAATCACCGCACAGTGCCGGTGGGAGCGGGGCCCATTGTCCCGGGGAAATCACCGCATAAGGCCGGTGGGAGAGCGCCCGGGCAGCCCCTGAATCCGGCATTGTCCCAGCACCACAAAAAGGTTTGGGAGTCTGAAAAGCAGAGGAACGGAATCTCACAGCTTCTTAGAGTCCCTCTGAAAGGGCCATTGTAACATCACCATAAATCCTGGGCTCCCCAGGCACTTGACAACTAAAGCAGTGGACAATAGAATTCTTGTGCTGGACAAAACACTCCTTGTCTGCCAAAGCGCTTATCTGCTTCATTTACAAATGTCTTTCATTGTGCCCAAATAATTCCCTATTAGAAAAACGATTAGGAACAGCACTAAATAAATATTCACAGCTTTGTGGGCCATTTGGCAAAGTGAATAAACCAATACAATCGAGGTGCACGCAAAATACGCAAATTTATGCCGAGGAAACCCAAAACAACCCCAAACCTCTGTTTATTTTCATTTTCCCTTTTCCTGATGCACTGCACACACATTTGTCCCTCTAAAAAACACCCAGGTACATTAGTCTTATCAAAAGAGATGAAAAATATTAGAAATCCCCAACAATCTCAAATTGGAGAAAAATTGCATCCACTGTACCCCTAAAATTAAATATTTCCAGGAGAGCAGTTCCAGAAATAAACTTGGGAGCATATCTGAAAGTTTAATGAAATAGAGACAAATTGCTCACAATCACAAAAGGATTTAAACTGTGGATTTCTAACTACATATGTTTAGGTCCCACTTACAGAGAAATCCAAAAGCATCAGGGATGAGTTTCTGAAACGAAATGGTGCCAGATTTTTGCAACTCTTTTCAGCCCAATGAAAATTCTGGTAAATATCACAGAACTGACTGAAAGAGACTAAAATATTCCATAAATATGACACTTCAAAAAGCTTTTCTAACACAGAACTCCATTGCCTCAGGTTTCCACATAAATAGTTATTTGATTACAATTTGCTGGAGAAGTGCCTATGGAAACACAACTGACACCACACACAATGATTAAAGAAAAACCCTAATAATCTAAATTATTGCTTAAGCAAAGAGTGCTGATCATATTCAAAGTGCCAGAGACATCTGCATGGCTGAATTAAAACCTGGAGAAGTCAAAACTTCTTGACTGAATTATTGATCATAAACTACTTATTCAAATCCAATATAGGAACAAAGTTTTTACACAGCCCAGGCCAATGGACTGAGTGGCTCAAGGGCTTTTTCCCCCCTGTGATTAATTATTACAAGTCTACAAAAAATGCAAGTATTCATAACCTATGAAACAGATTACTCATATTAAATATTCAGAATATATACAATAAACAACATCAATAATGGCAGAATAAAAAAAAAGAAAAAGAAAAGAAGCTAATGTAATTTAAAATAAGAATTATGCAGGTTTGAGCTCACAATCACAAAGGTTTAGGAATATGTGAGCTTTCCATGGTTCTATCATGAATTGCAGTCTGGCCCTGCCACATGTCACTTAACCTTGGAGCCATTGCTGAAAGTGAGCAAAGGCACACTATAAAACATTTCACCACTGAAAAATGCACGGTTCCATATAAAACTCAGAGCTCCCACATGCCAGCTGAGGATCTCTGCTGTTTG